GGGCAGTTTAAGGTATTTATTTAACGATGCGCCTGCGTGGGCGCCCGGATCGTAGTTGCCGCTCCCGATCGCAGTAGGATCTGTAGATAGCGGGTCTATTTCAGCTCCCTATGATTTGCAAACAATAAAATTGCAATAACACATTCCGTTTAGCTGGATGTATGGGTCCGCTGCAGCAGATCTGTCTACGACGGAGATGGCTGACGGCGGCAACCGCGGCAGAGCGAATACTGAACCCACGGTAACACACCCGAAAACGAGATGGTATGCTTACGAACGGATCAGGAGACAAAACAAATAAATTAAAAAATCCATTTTTAGTCTTACTGCGTGGATGCATGCATGCTCTTCAACTGTGGTGACAGCCCCAGGGTCACTTGCTGTCGACCTGTGCTTACCAGCTTGCAGAGCTGGTAACTTCTCAGCCCGGCAGCTGATTCAGAGAAGCTACAGGCTCAATATGGCAGCTTGTGACAAAGGCTTACTTCTGTGCTAGGTCCCAAACTGGACCAACCGATGCACATGTGGTAGATGAGGTTAGTTAGCCGTAGCCAGGGCGAAGGTACTAAGCGAACAACGCCAACCAGCCTTGCTCTCCTCCACAGTTGAACAAGTTGTAGTTAATTACAAGCAGACTTATAGAGCATTTACTGTGCGCTGACTGTTGTCTGTCTTCTGGCCAGGCCGCTGCAACTGCATCTCGGCAATTCTGTCTAAAACAGTCAACGGGGGAGTGTCTACTGTCTCCTTGTGGGTATTTGTCCCTTCCTCATCGTGCCTCACTGTCTATTCGTATTGTCTGTATTTCCTCCCGCCAATGCCTGTCTTGATTTCGGGGTACAACGTAGGCTCGCTCCGATACACTACAATCCCCACTCTATTATTCTCATCTAAGCCTACCATCGCCGCTACTCGAAACCAGCTTTCTAAAAAAATTTTTGAAGGTAAATAAATCTGCAACCGTGGGAACTGTATAAGTCCATTGCTTGCAGAGCTCAAAGACCGTGGAACGCTAGGTTCTTTTCCACGTTGAGGGATACTCTGGTCGGGAGCAGTACTGTGCTGCAATACCACTAATCGCCTCAGGCATTCGCGGAGTGTTCAAAAGATGAGGGATGCAGCTTTTTCGCAAATGATGCGGGGGCGAGTTGATGTGAAAAAGCTCAAATTCTCATCAGCCGAGCTCAGGTCTCTAGCCCTGCAAACCCACTGTGAGCAACCTGCATAGGCTACTGCTGGTCTTGGATGAGACATACCAGATGATGCAAAGCTGCCTATTCCGCATAAACTTTTGTGACGGAAAGGGACAGCAAGTCGAATATAAGCACAGCCCCATAATATATAAGAACTTTCCTGCAAAAGAGGTTCATGACCGGCCTGCCGCTCGCACTGCTTAATGTGTTCACTGTTCAGTTTCCGTTGAGGAGGTCCAGGCTCTCTACAGCGGTAATTCCTTCAGACCAGTGCAAAACGGCCCTATCACCCCACCTAGCAGCCAATTGGAGGTCCAGCACGTCTCAATGCACCGATATTAATTTTTTTTCTCTTACAAACGAACCTGTGCGTCGGCGAAAACATTTCTGCAGGCTTCCGGTTGCAAGCCGGTGAGCGAAAACCTCTCGAAGGAGGGTTGAGTGCCGTCAGTCTTCTTGGGCTCTTCAACCTTTCCAACGCTTGCAGTTTTGTCTTCGCGGATAGATTCGTTCGCCTCTTTTGGCAACACCGGACGCAAGACAGGGGCATCGAGATAGGCTTTGAAGAATTCGTTCGCCTACTGAGTATCTGGACACGCGGTAAGAATGAAGCATTCGTTGCTCACCACGAGATGCTGTACAATGCGAATGCCCCAAGTGGCGCAGAATAAATATGTGAAAGCGTAGATCAGCCCGTGCACTAGTCCGTATGAGTAAAGGAATGTGACTTTTTTGATGAACTGCCCTCACCATTGCCTATTACCCTTTGCTCCGCAGGCACACCCCATCAGCGACTAACGCGTACGTGTATCGCAGTATTCGATACCCAAGAACTCTCAAAGGCTAATTTGTTGTTCGATGGAGTGCTGCTATGTTCGTCGGCATTGCCGAGTTGATATCGTTGCCCTCTACGCGAAAGTGCCATAGGTCTCACGTTCTGTTGCTTGGTCACTGTGCTATTTCCTTCGGTTTTTGCTGCAGTTCTGTTTCACATATACGACAGAGGAAACAAGGGGTTAGCTGGCTGAGGAAGATTCCCGATTTACGCAAACGCGCGACTCCCCGGTGTAGGGCTACTCAACACCGAAATACAGCTACCAGATACAGCCTTTGTGGGTGCTTTTCCTGCAGGTACATCGTAAAAGAAGACATTGTCGATATCATGCGTTCACTTTTCATGTGTTTTCTCAAGTCTGGGGTTGCTTCCTATGATTGGAATTCGGAAGAATTCAAAGCAAAGTACGCCAACAATTTTTCTGTGCCCCGTCGTCTTAAGGTCGCCTCAACTAGGTAACCCTGGAAACGGTTGCTATGGGTGAATGGTGTCACCATTTGGTTATTGCAGGGTCATACTTGAGAGGCACTCCGAAGATGCAGTGAAGGAGTAAGGTAGTTCACAGTACCTTGCTTTAAACCAGGCATCACAAACTGTGGAGCAGATGTGAGAGAAACTAAGATGCGTTTGGCATAGTATGACGGCGTCAGCCTTCGTCACCCTTAGGTGTGCCTGTCTTGCGAGATCCTCCAGAATGGCCCAAGAAATTCTCTCAGAATGGGCGGATGCAGCAATCAGGTAGTCCTCCATATTAGGCTGCGGAAGCAAGACCCTAAGCAAGCATAACTGACCGTAACGACTCATTGCTCCTTTCAGCGAAGCTGTTGTTGAAACGCTGTAGCAACTGGACACTCAGTGAACACTTATCAAATAAATTGTTCCAATAGGGGAAGCTCGTAACAGGTACGATGGGTGCGTTTTGCAGACGTTTCCACACGGCGGATTCCAACAAATTACTATGGTTCAGCGGTGAGCTTGCGCTTCAAAACTAGTGAAAAATACGACAGGCACTGCAAACACTGTTTGCTGATGTTGCAATTTTGTTCAACCACAAACAATCTGCCATAGCGACTAAACAACCCATGTAGGGGCACGTCCGAAGTGCGCTGCATACTTTCTGGGCATTACTGTGGACCGCTAACGCACGTGTCTGCCGTTGGAGGTTGCAGAGTTCCTGCAGTGGATAATCCACGTCCCCGGAGTTGCAGAAAGCCTCTGCGTCCCTACAGATGTCTGGACATGGCTATTTCAAGAATAAACTCAGTGCTGTTAAGCTTCCGTCTCCGCGGAGGGAGCAACAACCCCCCGGAGGAGCAATTTCTTTCCTTTTCCCTTCTCGATATTAAACTGCAACCCTCTTCAACGCCTCAAAATTTGTTTTGCTTAAACGCTCGCTTCAAAGCTATTCAGAATGGAGTGGGCCCCACCTTGTGGTGTGGCTGTTGCGCTAGCTGATATATTACAGCATTCCACTACTGTACGGCTATAAATACGTCATGTTGAATTGTTTCACAGTGCGTGGAAAGGGTGTTCCCTAATGCATGGGAGTTATGGAAACCGCCCTGGAGCCCCTACAGTGCGGGCATAAGACAGAGAGGCAAACTGTCCCTTGTGCATTTCGCGTTGGGCCTCTTTATCAACGCTCAGGAACTCTCCTTATGCTGTTCCAAGCCCTGTTGTTTCTTGATTCCCATATGAACAAGATCCGGTCCCAGACGGACCGGTTGTTATCCGCCGCCCAGGCAAAATTGGCGGCAGGAGATCCCAACAACTGAAGACGCGAGTGCGCATGAAACTACTGCTCATCATTGCGTAACTTCTGAGTCACATTCTCAGCGAAGTTGCACTTCGAAAGGTCGATATACTGCCTGAATTCTCAAAAGCGAGATTTCAGGTAGTAAACCGGCGATGCAACCAGAGGAAAGCCTCCAGTAAACATGAGCATGTGCTCCTGCAGCGAGGCCCAGACAGGCCTGACTCAAAAGCAGGAGGGCCCAACTGGAGACACTGGGGGAAGAAATTTTGTGAACACTGCTGCGTAGCACCAGCCGTGAGGAGCGGAAGCTGTGGTGACCTTGATCTCTAGGATCCACAGTGTTGAATTCAAAATGAGTGTGCAGGCTCAATTAGGCATGAAAAGTGTCTGATAGTGGGTCGCCTCCGATTTCTAAGAGATCTAAGCACCACCGGGTCGTTACCACTCGTCAACTCTTGCGAACTGTGTGCAGTACAGTTTCGCTAAAGATGTTAAGTCCGTCATTTATTACTCAGACCCTATAGAATGGAGGACCCTCATGAATTTGCATGTTTCTTCAAGCTGAAGTTTTGCTATTCGCTCTGCTCTTGCTTCGTCCACTGCCTTCTGCTGCAGTGGGCAGTGGGGTCACCTGTGCTCGATATGCTGATGCGCCTAGTTAGAGCACTTGACTATTTGTTCATCGACGCGTGGGATGTAGCTAACGATTAAGTAAGCAGTAAATTAATGCCAGGGTTTAACAGCTGAAAGAAATGATTTTCACCGTACTTCGCCTCTTCCCTTCCTTTGGTGCACGACAGGACTCCGCAGATCTCCCAGGGGCTGTGATCCCAGACCGTGACCGTTTCTTGTTCCAAGTTTTATCGGCTGAATGTATGATTTCCAGCAGTATAAGATACCTGCTTGCCTAGATTGAAGCTCGCTTGTATGGTTCCACTCCGGACTTCCCCGCGGCTGGCCACAGAGTGAACATAACTCTGTGCCCATGCCTCGCTGAACTCGTCTCATTTCCTACAATACCTTTTCTACAAAGAGTTAAATGAGTTACTTCAGTCCGGTTTTGTAACCGTGTAGCCGATTTATGCGTGATCTAGTCATTCGCTGAATTGGAGGGGTGCACGGGTCGGCACACAGGAAGGTTTTGCGTTTAAAGCCATCTTCTCTATAGTCAAAATTCACACGGGGCTCCGATTTTTGTTCCTAACATCCAGCCAGTATGAATGAATATTACTACACTTACTCTAAACTCCGCCAGGAGTATGGGCGCTATTGCTGCTTCAGCGTCACAGAACCCCGCACACTGGGGGTTATCGAGCCTAATCCCGATCAGATGCAGCAGCTAATTCCTCAGAATCCCCGAAATTTCTGTGGAGACACAATGATAGAGCTCTCGGAACATACAGTGAACACGGGAAGCGTCAGTGTATGCGGGAGGGGGATGAGGCATGTAGAGGGGGGTTGGCCTAAGGAGGTTGACTCAACAGATCCGCAAGAGGTTGCGAAGTGGAAAAAAAGGGCAGAAAGGGACCCAGCTTTCTTGCAAAGTGTCAAGCAGCTAACTGCTGACTGCACTCGCGTACTCCAGCAGAACCTCGTGGTTGATCTATTTCAGGATTACTTCAAGGGGATGGAGATTTCCAGAGGGACTGAGCAACGTTTGTACGCCAAATCTATAGCACTTCTGAAGGACCACTCTGGGGATTGTAAAAGGTCGGTAACATGCATAGCCTGGCATCCCGAAGGTCCTCAGAAACTAGCCGTGGGCTATGGCATCATGAAGTTCCAGGGCCAGCCAGAGTCCCTTCCTACCTGCGCACTGCTGTGGGACCCGCGTCACCCCAACGAGCCGGTAACGGAATTGAGTTCTCCCAGTCCAGCGGTTTCTTTGGCCTTTAACACGAAAATTTCAGATATGCTTATTGGAGGTTGCTACAGCGGGGTTGTCTGTTTATGGGATTTGCGCAAGGGAACGAAACCAGTTGAAGTATCGGGCTCTGGTACCAGCCACTACGATCCTGTATACGAGGTCGTGTGGACACAAAGCAAGACGAACAGCGAATTTGTATCGGCTTCCACCGATGGGAGGGTCTTGTGGTGGGACTGTAGGAGCCTAAAAGAACCAATAGAAGAGTGCCGGCTTACTCCGCCTTCGCAACCAAATTCAGCAACTGCTACTGGAGCTTCTCAGGGTGCCAATGGGGTGGATGAGAGCGAAACATGCGAACTTGTAGGGGCCAGGTCTTTAGCGTGGTCTCTAGAGGCAGGGCCAACGAAGTTTCTTCTCGGTACTGAACAGGGCACTCTGTTGAGCTTAAAGACAAGGCCTAAAAGGCCCCCAGAGATCAGTCAGTGGTTCGGCTGCGACGGTGGGCAGCACCACGGACCGGTGAGCGCTGTCAGAAGGAACCCGTTTCACACTAAGTACTTTTTGTCGGTCGGTGATTGGACTGCCAAGCTATGGATGGAAGAAGTGCGCACTCCGCTTGTAGTAACGCCCCACCACCCGGCGACCCTCACTGACGGCCAGTGGAGTCCTACACGTCCCGGATTGTTTATGGTCACCCGAAGCGATGGTTTTCTGAGCTTCTGGGACTATTACTACAAGCAGCACGAGGTTGCGTTCCAGCATAAGGTCGGGACTTGTCCCCTGACCCGCCTTTCAGTTCAAGCTCAAGGCGAGCTCGTCGCCGTGGGAGATGCTGATGGGCGAGTGACAGTGCTTGGCCTGTGCGAAGCGCTACACGCATGCGCCGCTAACGAAAAGGCAGTTGTCGGGTCAATGTTTGAGCGCGAAGCAAGGCGTGAGAAAAACATTGAAATGACAAAACGGCAAGCAGAAGGTAAAAGGCAGGATGAGAAGCCGCAAGCTCGTCCGCAAAGTGCGCTAGCTCAGGAAGCAGTTGAATCTGCTCGGGCAGCATTCTTCAAGGAATTTCAGGGGGACCAGCCTCCGCCAACAGCCTAGGAAAAAGGATCATTCTGCTAATTTTCTTTTGTGAACGACTGGCAGCTCAATTTCTGCATAGCATCCCACTAGATAGGCATCTCCAGCGAGCACGAGTTAACGCCAGAATAATCAGCGGCAGGCAGTTTGCTAACGTCTCTGACCACTGGATTTTTTCAAGCTCAAATAATGTACGTAGCAAAATGTGCTTCTTCGTGCTGCAAGGAGTGCTTCCTTGGGAAGCATTGGGCTCCACTTCAGCAGCAGCGTGGCCTGCTGTTCGAGCCGTTGTCTACCCGAACACATCGCTGTAATTATTTTTAGTGGATAGAGGCATTTGCGTGCGCTCAAGCACATAGAAAACGCTGCTTACAAACGTGCGCGCGGACATCCCGCCTGAAGAGGCGGGTTATTAGGGCCCCTCGCAAATGGAAGGCCGGTAATCATAAGGTGTCACGCAAACTACGCTAATGCGGGTTTTAAAGGACAGCAGTGAGGTTTTCACAAGCCCACGCTGCAGGACGTGTATCTTTCAAAAGAATATATGCTTGTCTGGTGCATGTCGCTGTAGATAAGGTTGTGCCAGCAGGGTCAATGCTGTGCAAGTCTGCTTGGACGTGACGCTATTTGCAAAGGTCCCATGCTACGGCCACATGCTTGTGCCATTTGAAGCTGTAACTGGCAGTTCACTCTCTCTTTAGTGCAATTGCTCCACTCGGAATAGATCTGGTAGCTAAATGTCGATACGATACAGTCAAATCCCCTATGTTGAAGATGCCCAAGACCCAACCACCGATTCTGGGCGCCAACGCATCCCAGGAATAAAGCTTTTCCCAGGGTCTAAAAGAGAATTAGAAGAAAGAAACTACGTTTAACGATTTATTAGATGCAGGTAGCTATATTTCCAGCACAAAATGCACGTACATATGCAAAAAAAAACAATTTGGTTAATGACCAGCAGATGGCGTGCTGAGGACGAGCCAATAGCATCCCTTAAAAGGCCACGGATCAGTCCGTGATTAAGGGGCATAGCCTGTACTGTCTTGTTTGCTCCGTGCATCTCATCGTGCCGGCACTAAGCATGCAAAACAAATTATATATCTCGTCTACCCTTGTCTGGCGATGCTTCTGTACAAGCCGAGCTGCTGCGTCCTGCTGCAAGCCAAGTGCAGCCGTTATTCCTCCGCTTGCTGCGGTTGTGGAGCTTCCTTAGAATTTCCTTGGCAGATTTTCTGTAGTTCACGCATTGAGCGATCTACAGGATTGGCGGCAGTGCGGAATTCTTCGCTTATTTCCAGAAGGATAGAATTAAGACGCTCAGCCTGCCACGCTTCCATGGAGAGCTTGTCAGCATCACCCGGCTTTTCCTGAAATAAACACAACTTGTCCCTCAAACAGTGATTCCAATGCATCGTGTCTATAAACGAAAAATTTGAATCCATAGTGTGATATACGAGCAAGCATGTGGAGAGAAAACAATGAATCTCGTCTATCACATCCGGGCATTGATCAAGTGCAAGCGGCTTCAAAGAGTCAACTTACCCTCACAGCACAATCAAAGCGTGCTGATGTTGGGTCCAAGTGTCTATGATGAGATGTTTTGAAAAGAGTGAATTTCATTGATACACTTTTTGGCAGGCTAAGTAATGCCTGCCTTAAGTTTGCCTTTGGTGGAATATAGAAGTCAATCATTCTAATCTGCTGAAGACTATATTGGTTGACCCACCGGAACTTTCGCCACCTTTTGCGGGAGCTTTACGATTGTTACTGTGCCGCCCGTCTCGGCAACTGCAAGAACGAAGCTTTTTGTGTTGAAACAGATTCGGGCGCTAGCGGCATCACTGCATACCTGCACAGCCACGCCCTCGCCCACATTTGCAGCTACCGTAGTGTCCAAGAAATTAACGATTGAATGATCTGTCGGCCGAGCATCAGGTGAGCAGGCGCTCCCTGGATCAGCTAGGGGAGGTCCCAAGAGGCTAGCAAGGGTAACGCTGTGCGCGACACACTTTTTGGGAGAGGACAGGGAGTCTCCTATGCACGCTTAAATCGTGCAAATGCAGCTGTCGGAACACAGCAGAAACCGCAGGACGCACGCAAAGGAACACAGTTTTCACCCTTCACGTTAAATTGAGGGCGTTGCCAAAAGGGTAACTGTATCTTGGGCTAGTTGTAGGCATAACGTTTTGCATGGTAGGAATTGTGACTCAGGCTGCCCGGTAGGGGTTGCAAGAATGCAAACTATCACAAGAGTGCTCGCATGCAATGTTTCATGGTAATTTCACGCCGAACATAACATGTCTCGTTTCTTACCATGCCATTTGTCGTCAACGCGGCAAACTGCGTTGAGCTGTAGGGAGCCCAAGCCACATCGCTTACTGGCTGCTCACAATGTATGATTCACAGCAAGCAAGTCATGTCTTTGTATATAGGACGTGACAGCGACTGAAGGAAGAAGCTCAACTCCGATTTTGCCTTGTATTTTGATGAACCGGCCTGTGTAGGGTAGCTGAGGCGACGGAGCATTAAGTACCACTGAAGTTCGGAGGGCTCAGGGATTACATACCGTGCCGTAATCAAGTGTCACAATGCTTCGCTGAAGCCGATCGTCCCACAGCATGACCCGCCAGTCCGCCGAAGCGGATAGGAAAATGTGCTCGTTGAACGGGCTCCAATGGAGTGTGTTTACAGGCATATCGTGTCCTAAATGTAGCAGAACATGGCACTGTGTTACTGTCGTTAGCTTGTTCCCCTACCGGCTAATCGTTCAGTGTTTTGACTGGCACTTGCAGCGCCCGTGAACATCTAGGCTGTTGCGCCTTCACATTATGTTGTGGAACCGCAACATGTGGGCGTGCCACCGTCCTGCCAGAAGCGTGCCTTTGTAAGCGCCCAAAAACTGGCCGCTATAGTCCTTTGAACACTTATATATGGCCCCTTCTTCAGTTCCGACGACAAACATTTGTGGCCGAGCCGGGCAGAAATCGAAGCAGAGGCCAGTGGCGAGAGGGAGAACGGCTGAGGAGCCAGTGTTTGGTGATGCGTCGCCTCCTCCAAGTGTTCCCGTATCGCGCTTCAGTGTCAGCAGCTGCACAGAAAAGCCGATGTACTCAAACAGTGCATTTAGTCCTTGTACAAGCGTCAACAAATTCTTAGAATCTAGCTGCCGTCAAAAATGCAGTAAACAGAGAGGATGTATCGAAAAGTTTGTCCACTGAACACTGCGTGCTATGGCTTCTTACGACTTCAGATTCAAGCTTGCTCTTAAGTATAGTCCAGCGCATGATACGTCCATCAGCTGAGACTGAGAAAAACGAAAGTTGGCTGGTAGCAGGATCTACCTCCCAGCACACTGAACAGAAACACCCAGAGCAATCGGGGGCGACGGCAAGTTCACAGGTAATGGTCATTTGCATCGGTTATGTCTGCGGCCCTTTGCAGCACCCCGTTCCTGTAAGCCAGTACCTATAGGGAATCCGCTTCTGGTATTCCCAGGAAGTGCGCGAGGAGGATAAACATACCGTCCCAAACAGGATCGGTGTGTTTTCCTGTTTTCACTGTCGAATAGTGCCATGGTTTCTTGCTTGGTGATGTTGCATCAAGTACTGCCACATTGCCATCGTACAGCCCAACACACAATAGTGACGGTTGCTGGGGGTGCCAGTCCAGACTGCATACTTTCTGCATCGCACCGCATTGTTAAATGCAGAAAGCTGCTCAGTACTGTACAATGGTTCTACTTTCAACAACTAGGATGCGGATAACGTAGAACAGCGTTTCTGAAGTTGGGGTAGGGCTTGAGTGTCTCTCATTTGCAGTTTAGAAGAGATCGGCGCATAGCGGGAGCGAGTCTGCAACCAACACGACTAACAGAATCAAGCTTCCAAAAGTATTCTGGATGCGACGTGTTCTTCAGGGAGAAGCAGCACACGTATCCGCAACCTTGCTTGACGTATTCGTAGTTCCCTACGCACGAATAACACCAAAAGCTTGACCTTCAGGAAAGATATTTTTTTCTGCCAGTTGGATCCATAGAAAGCAAGCAAGACTGTCCTCCAACACGCGATAAGAATGCTAATTCTCAGCAGCGAAGTCAATAACGGCCTCTACAGCATTTGTGAGCAGTAACCGAGTGAGCAGGCTGTGTAGAGAAACCGGTGGCTATACTGCTGCAGGATAGGTCACTCACCAAAGCCGACAGCGAGAAGGTCGTGATAATGTGGGTTCCAGCGAAGGACCATGGCATCTTTTCCCTTGGCTCGCGAGAACCTAAACTCCCAGATCGGAGTGATCACCAGTGGCGCATCAGCGGGTTCCTCCTCTGTAGATTGAAAGATTCGATAAGCCTCTTGCTGAGCGTTGAAGCTCACCACACGCTCCAAAACCTGTATGTACACGAGATTTTGCATAATCATGTATTGGGAGCTTTTGCTTTTTCTGAACGGCAATCGACGTACCCTAAGACCCTTCCAGTACGGGTTGCTGCACCGCTATGGACATTTGACCGACAGCATAAGCAAATCACTTCAGCATAGCTCAGCCTCTCGTTGGGCTGTGTATTGTGAAGCATATCACCGATAATGGGGCACCATTGATAGGTGCATCGTCCACAGAATCATTTCGAGTACAGCAAGCTGAATTCAAATTACCTTAAGGGACCATCTGAACTTTTCTGAGCTCAAAAGGCTTCGAGCAGAATCATGGTGTGGCAGCTTCAACGGTTGCCTGTCTCCGGGCTAACAACGCAGCGAGGGCAGAGACACCATCCAGCAAGCGCAGTGATGCATTCAATGTTCTGAATTAATGTCGCCAGCGTCAAAACTCCAATGTTCGTGGTATCATGTGCGCACCTTCGTTTCATTCTCCTTTCGGCTTTGCGCTTCAGCCTCCTTCACATAAGCGTCCCATATCATCCAGTAATTTGCTGAAAATCTCATAGTATACGCCCCCGAAGGTTTAGCACTTTAGTGCCGCGCTCAGCTGTTTATATTCTTAGAATGTTGATAGCGCTACTATGTGTTACGCTTCGAGGGGAGTTTACACCAACACTCCACCACTAGCAGAGTTTCCTCGGATAATCCATACCGGTTCCACAGCACAGCCGTTTCGGAGGTGGCAGTGTTGAGCAGCTTTGTTCGCTGCAAAATCAAATTCGCATACCAACGCCGCCAGGTTTTACGACCCTTCGGTATTCACCGACGCACACACAAGCAGAGACAGCTGAGCGCGAAGGTGAGTGAATGCAGTGAAACACTTACACAGTGGGGCGGCTCTTGATCTGCGTGGCCCTATCCACATTGTTGAATTGGTTGCGCATCACCCTCCCCTCCTCATCCTGTGTGGCTGCGCAGACGCGCACCAAAGCATCAAGCGTCTGTCGTTGCCGGAAAACCGCTTAGGTTAGGCAATCACAAATAAGGTGTCCATGGAATATGTACTGCGCGGTGGCCAGGAGGCTGCTAGCAGCTCCTTTGGCTAACTACTACCCACCGCCGTCATCTTCAATTGAAACTTCTACAGCCTCTAACTGCCTTCGGCGTTCCTCTGCTTCCTCCCGGAGACGCAGGAGCTCCTCTTGCTCTGCAGCTTCTGGACTCTCCTTCAGAAGGAGCGTACTGCAGCGCGCAAATCCAGCAGCATGACCCATTGAGTTAAAGTATAGAAGACGATGCAAAGCATTCCCCATAGGCATGTTCTTATACTTCCACAAGTTTCTGGTAAACTTGCTGGTTCCTGAAGCGAATGTTCTACTACCTTTCCATGCATAGATGAAAAACAGTTTGCTCGACGGCGCCCTCTTTTTTAAACTGATTTTCTTTGAAGGAGAAGCGGGTAATGTTCTGTGGCGCGCGCGGATTTTGGGGATACAAGATCTTAGGAGGCATGCGTTGACGAAGTTCCTCCGGAGTCAACTGGACTTGATCTTTTGGCTTTAAACGTTGGTTTGCCTGCAGTGGAGCTCAAATAAAAATGAAAAACCTCCAGTACAGCATCGTCACTTATAAGGTCTAGCTTGCTTCCTCTCGGCGGAGAAGCATGTGTCCGTCGAACAACGAACCCCAATCAACGCATAAACTAGCAAGTGCGCTGCAGCACGTTATTCCATTTAAGCCTAAACGATTTTCCAAGGCTATGCGCTGGGTTTTGAAGCCTGGAAAATTGCGCCTGCGTGGTGATGTGCTGGGGTCGCGGTACCTGCGCTTCATCGCTCTCCTGCGGCTCTTCTCCCCTAAAAAAGATTGAAAGAGAAGAGCGCCTGTGACCAGTCATGCGCTTAGGAAGCGCCGGTGGCTTCTCTGATTGGGCTGGCTTTGGCTTGCTCATTGCGGTGACACTTAATCACATGCAGCGTACCGAAGCCAGTGGACCCTGAGTAGTTGAGCAGGGAAACAAACATTCGGTAGCCAGTTACCCTTAAGTTTACTCAAATAGTACTAACAGCTCTAAAAGTTTTCAGTATAGGTTGTTTCCTATCTTTCGGTGAAATTAGGGGGGCCAGAAATGCGCAAAGATTTTGCACACATCCCCCCACTGGGGAAGCAAGGGAGCACACTAAGAGTAGTTGATCCTCCCGTTTTAACGCAGCCTAGCTTCCATTGCATACTTCCACTTAATCTGTTGACTTTTAAATTAGAGGATCCAACATTTTTGCTGCTTTTGCTGCCGCAGGACGGCAGCACGGGTCACCTGTTGGAACCTCCAGCCAGTAGAAGGCGAAGCTCCAGTCAAGAAGAGGAAAACGCAGAAAATCTCGAGACTAGAAGCCTTACTAAAAATTATTATAGGGATATGCCTTGTGTCGTGGGGCCAGCGGTGCCGCTGTGGCCGTCGTGTACGTGCACCAGGAGTCGGGTGAGCCCCGAAAAGCATATTGTCCCTGTATCTAATGCATGTTCCCTGATGTTTCCCGCTAATGCAGAGCAAATTTTGCACGAAAACCACCCAGAGTTTTTCGTAGAGTGTATGGTTCTATATATGGAGGTGCCTGGAGAACAAAACTGCTGAATGACCACACGGCTGCAATTCCGTGGACCACTGTAGATCTAGACCGAACTCCAGCAGGAGTTGCACTTCCAGCAACAGCAGCAACAAGCACTTTCTTGTTATATTTCAAATTCATTTCCCCCTGCATATGCCTTTCAAAGCTTGATTTCCCTGTTTCATGGGGAGTTCACCATAGGCATCCGGAACTCAGCGCCCCAGATCGCAACAGTCTCCGAGAAGTCTATCTGTCGTCGATGCTCGGAGCAGTGTACTACTTTCCTATTGCCCCTGGATTGAATTACTAAAAGTCTACTGCTGCCTTTCATATCCTGGCGGATGCAAGCCTTTCTCGCTGAACGCAGTGTGCCTGTCAGCCTGCAATGCGCTCCCGAGTTTTCCATGCCGCATCGCCATGTCCCCGTATTTGAAGCGAAATGCGGCAGCAAGTCCCCCAGGTTCTGCCAGTTAAAACTTTTTTGAAACTGTTTGGCATGGGAGTAATGTTTTTTTTCGGCTGAATGTGCAGACAAACAGAAATCCAGAATGTAAAACCCATCCACTTGGCCACGCACGTGCTCTACGGCATGACTTGCACATCCCCAGTGGCTAGGATATGGAAGATCCTATTGAGTCAGTTGCACTTATTATGGAGGAATTTAATCCACTGCAAGCAAAGCTAGCGCAACTAACATTCGCATTGTTGCCAAATTGTGCCAGAATGACTACCTGTGGACGCTTTTGAATCAGTTGTAACCGCAGCGAAACAGCAGATAGAAACTGTGCCAAACTATAATGATGCCATTTCAATACGGCTTTCAACAGAACCTCCATTTTTGTTACTTCTGGACCACCGTAAGGGCCTTCTATGGTGCTCGGTGTGGCGACAACCAATGGCTTCTCCTGGAACAAGGTTTCAAACGCTATCACGTTAAAGCAGATACTGTTTCAAAATGCTGTTATGGAAGTCTTGGCGGTTTATATGTACTCTTTCGACAGTTATGGAGGGACAGGTTGAGGGGAGTCTTGAATGAAGAGACCCTTCAAAATTGCTAAGCCTTCTACACGTCTTCTGCCAGATATCCAGAAAACCGTGCAATAGGACACGGGCTTGGATGCCTTCCCCCGTTGGCACACGGCTTGAAGGAAAGTGCGGAAATCTTAAAGGGCATTGTTCTCTAAGGGGATATATATATATATATATACATATATATATATATATATATATATATATATATATATATATATATATATATATATATAGACGTACAATAACAGGGGTGGTCGTATAGCTGGCTGTAACTACACAGCTGTTGCCCATATGAACGGCAAATCTCGCTAGGTGCCAGGCTTTCCTCGATCTTCCTGACTTTGTTTCAAGACGTGTGTCAATGGAAAAAGGCGCTGCATCCCTTGGACTAGCTCACTATTTTCTTTCTTAAATGAATCCCCGCCTATTTTCTGCTTGGCAGAGAAAACAGCGTGTTGCGTGAGCCCGGTTCAGAAACCGTCAAAAATTGTTCCGTTCCTACAGGCAAAGCTGCACAACAAAGTGCGGCTAAATTGCCAGCCCTGTCTGCTAGCATAACGTTGCAGCAACTGTATGCAGCTCCATGTACGCATCGATACAGTATAGCTATGGCTGCTCTCTTTGCAACGAGGGACCTCGATCCTACACGAGGACCGTTGCGAGCTACAATCGAGTTAAAGCTCAGATAAGATTTACCCATAAGCATCAGATATTCTCTTCAGTCTCCAGACACCCTGGGCACAGCGGTGCAAGGGACTGGGGCTGCCTCGGAGAGGAGACGGCCTATCTTGAGTTGTTGTACTGCTCGTCATAATACTTTCTGCAAAGCAGTCCCACATGCAATAATGCCCAAACCCCATGTTTATTCATGCGCAAATATCGTAGCAACTGTTAAACACTAACTTGGCCCTTCGTATCCAGCAAGCGCGACAATAAAAATACATGTGGGGACTTCACACAGGCCATGTTACACACATGTTTCCATCCCATACACTGAACCTTCCCTCTTTTAGTGCGTCTTTTCGTACACTTGCTACATGAAGGCAGAATAACTATAGCTAGAAAGAGTGGATGCAACAGTTGCCTAGTGGCTCGCGTGAACATGGCAACCATAGAAAGCGTAGTCGGGGGGCACAACCGAACAGACCAGCAGAGGCGTTCGCAGGCCTGAAACACAAAGGCCTGCTGCTCGTTCCAGATCAACTCGCTGTTCTTTCACAAATGCTTGGCATCGTTAGCGCTCAGCAGGAAATCGCGGCCTGGAGATAAGGCGGTTGCTCTCTGCCTGGTTGCTCTCATGTGCGCCATTGGGGCGGACCCCTTCAAACCAGACACTTCTTTCAAGTGCATCGAATAGCTTGCAAAGCAGTGTAATCAAATTGCTCACTTTATGGGAATAGTTGGCTAGCCTCCACTGCGCAGGAAGTGAGCGGGGGCTACGGTCGAGTCGTCTTTCTGCACTGATGTACATGTTTCGTTACAGACAGCACTTCACTGACAAAGCTCTCGAAGCATTTTGTTCTAAAGAAGAGCAAAAGTAATATAAAGAGGAGCGGTGTCCTGTACAAAGGCGCCTCCAGCTGTCTCGTGGTGATCCATGCGGGCAGCCCCATGGTCGGTCCCGTGGTCCAGGCCATCCAGGCTAACTCGATATGGGTAGTTAAACAGAAACTTGGCGCCACCACCTTATAGCTAAGAACCAATGTAGTCTATGGCCGCGAGAGTTTTCTTGTTCTATGGGGCCCCCGAACAGACTATTGCGCACACTAACGAAAGGAGGATTTTGGGGAAGCGCAACAAAGGAGACAGGGGCCTCGCATAAACCAGCGCGAGCACTTCAATGTATTCCTCCCGAAGTGCCACCCACTTTTTTGTATGGCTTTTTCTCTTCTTTGTGGCCTCCGACCCAAGCTCCACTTCCCGGAGGGAACTTCGCCGTGGAGGTCACCTGCAATACTGCAGCTGGGGAGGTGGATGGCACTGCTTGCTGCTTCCAGGAGAGAAACTCCAGTGAGCCAAAGGGTCTTTTTGATCTGGATGGTGTTGGCGTCTTCTCCAGGTGAAGGATATTCAACAACAGGGCATCCAGAGGGCATGCTGGGTTTGCTGGAGTCGGTTTCGTATCCACTGAAATCAGGCTCAGATCGAGGGATCATGCGAAGACTTGAGGTGGCTTGTTCAGGGGGTGGTCGCCGGGATGGGGACTCCCGCTGACTACGCAGAACTGCCGCAGCACGGAAAAAGATAGATGAGTGACGATTTTTCAGCGCATTGTGCATAGGAGGCCACGTCTATGAGAAATCAACGGCCAGCTTACGCCATTGATGAGTGTACAGTGTTAATCTGTGGCAAACTTCATAAGCCTGTAGAGTCAGGTAGCGCTTTCAAAGCGCCGAAGACAGTAACACGTTTGTCTTGTTACCTACGGAGATGGCTCCAATGGAGGCTCCACGGGCACGTTCTTTCGACGGTGGGGTGCTGGGTGCCGGATTCAGTAAAGCGGCTCCACATACCAACAGTTCTGTGACTCAGGGAACTGAGCGCACGGATGCGCGTTTCAGCAGCAGTCGCAGCCGCGCAATGAGCTCATTTATTTCCACCAGTTCAACGGTGGCCATGGGTACTGCAGAACTGGCCACCGCCAGAGGCCCCTGGGCGCTATTCTGCTTCAAAGTGCGGAATGCTCGGCTTTCGAGGTTTTTGCTTATATTAGCTGTTTTAGTTGACTGCATTGGAGCTTCTTTGGAGGTGACGAACGTGACATTTCCTGGTTCGTTCTGGGCGATCCGCCTTCCTGTGTTTTTCGGCTTCATCTGCTTGGTGGCTACAGGTGCCTGCTCTCGGGGACTGTGGTCAACCAGACGGGCTTATTTTCGTGCGTGTTCTGGATGGCTTGACTTATTCCTTTTACTTAATATTGCAGCGGATCTGATCTACCGTCTCGGGGTCGACATGGGTTGGTGGACATATACGCCAGTGGCCTTGGGCATTTTCGCCATCCTCCGAAATATGCGGGCGTGGTCAGTCTTAAGGATTTGTCGGGCATTTCGATCAACCATAAACAACTTGACGCGCAGTGCCAACGACCTAGCAGCTGTATGCATCTTCGTACTGGTGTTTTCGTTATTAGTACTAGTTGTTCTGCTTCATTTCTACGGCTTCGCGTGCTGGTATCGTTGCTATCCCGAACTACCGCTACCACCGGAGGTCCAGGAGAGCGATTCATGTTCTGCAGACAGCTTTTTCTGGGATCTTGACGAGACACAGCCTCTCTTCTGCTCTGGCTACATCTCTCCCTGCAAAGGCAGCACGCAGTGCCGCAATATATTTTTACATTCGGTTACTTCTTCCTGCACCGCCGAAGAACGAAAACGTCTTCAGGATAGGGCCTGGCAAGAGCTACAGACAAATGAACAAGCGGGCTATGGTGTTTTCGGTGTTCAAACATTGGGAGCAGCGGCAGTCGCCCTCCTCCAAGGATTTACTCAAGAAGGATGGTCCGCTACAATGAAGAGCCTTGCAAACGGTGATCACCGTAGTAACGGAATTGTCGCATATATAACGTTTCCTGTGTTGGTGGTCATAGGGAGCATGTTGATAATGAACCTAGGCATAGCGGTGCTCTGGGAGGCTTTTGACGCTGCTAATGCTGTATCGCCTGCTCGCCCGGCCATCTTAAAGGAATCTGAATGGAGGGTGTACCAGCTGCTGGGCACAGATTGGCTCAAGTACCTGATGGTAGAGCTGAACCAAAAAAAAGACAGCCTTGGCGCCTTGGTGCAATCACCTCCTTGCGCGAAGACGGGTGATGCAGTAGATGAAGGTGAATTTGCTCCCATCTTCAACGGCGCAATTTCAAACTATTGGTATATGACCAGAGACTGGCTTAGAAGGGCAATTGAAATTAGATTCCCTGAACATAAAAAACGCATGAATTCCCTCTACATGAAAAGTAGAGCATTTGCGTTTCGCTTAGCTACACATAGGGCCGCCTCTCCCGTGATGATGGTTGTCGTTGTCATTGACATGGGCGTTCTGTTTGCTCAGAGTGGAAGGAACGCTAGTTTACTGCTCTCTATTTTAGACCTTTTAACTAGCGCGACGTTCGTGGTCGAGTCGATAGTGTTGTTACTGGCATTCGGTAGAAGGGGCATTAAAAACGGGTTCATTTGCCTGGACGTACTTATTGGCGCCCTCGCCATTTTAGATGGGTTTCTAGCCCTTGCACTGTGTCCGAATATCAGTGACTGCAGAGCTTCAGCCATAGAATCTGACGGCTTTCTAGGGGTATTAGCTCTCATTTCCGCCTTGCTGCGTCCGTTTCGAGTCTTCAAGGTAGTAAAGTGTTTCTGTTCATTGCGGCTAACGGCAGAGATGGTCTGGTCGTTGCACAACTCCCTGATGCCTTACGTGATGCTGCTTTTTTATTCGTGCATCGTCGTGTCACAGCTGGCCCTGTTCTTCTTCGCGGACCCAAAATATTTAGCACAACATGGAAACGATGCTTCCCTCAACTTGACGAGATACTTCAACTTTGAAAACGCCGTCACCGCCTTGCTCCTTTTTTTCAGTATCCTCACAGGAGAATCTTGGCATCTGTTCTTCAAGGAACTACGTCAGATCTACGGTGAAGAAGAAGAACACGTCACATCCGACTCCAACCAGTTGTCTGATTTTATCCTTTCCGCCCCGTCCCGGGTGGCAGCAATAAACACATTCCTCTACTTCTCTCTGATTTTTTTAAATTGTTTACTTTTTAACCTGTATGGAGCAATTCTGATCAGCAAATTTATTCAAACCCAAAAGTCTATTGGCGTGAAGTACGCGGCCAAATTCATTGTCACCTGTCGTAACGCGGGAATCCCGATGCCCGTGGAGGATGCGCTCCAGGGCCAAAATGCTCAGGCGCTCTACACGTTTGCCAACATGCAGACAGAAGACCAGAGGGACGAGCTTATAAAAGCTATTACTACGGGTGGGGTGCTTCTCCCTAGCCACGCAGGTCACGTTCCCCACTACCAGAGAGGTCCACTGCAGTTGACCTCTGGATTTGGGCCAGTGGGACAGAACGGGCACAATTTCAAAGAACTCAAGGACGCTTAGAGCTTCCATTGTTCGTTTGTCACGCATCGTTGCAGGATCAGAGAGAGAAAAGTCAGCAAAGGCACTAGGAGAGTTCGCGCGCAAGACGTCCGTTGTGGTAGATATCTGCAAGACAGTTGCAAGGAAAGGTAGCCGTATGGCCACAAGGGCCAGTTCTGGCAGCGTGTTGTGGGGGAGGGACAGGAGCACCAGCAACACCAACAGTATTATTTCAATGGCTTCCGACAGGCCTGCGAAAAAAGAACTAATAGGTGACACGGCTTTCGACAAGGCTGCTGCCGAACGTGGCCTTGCACAATTACTTGAGCGCCCTGCAGATAAAATGGCTGATAGGACCAATGAGGATGGCTCTACCGATATTCAGAGGGCAGATGGGCGCAGCGCCCCACGCATCTTGAACATCACTGATAACGGTGTGAAGCTGGGAACATCCAACAAGGCAGCAGTCAAATTCGCAGCGGACGATAGCGCAGTAGCCTCACCTGATTACGCAGGTTCAAGAAGTCTAGCTGGTGCGCGGAGCTGCTGCCTAACTGTTAGCATATACACTACTAGGGGGCGTCGGGCACGATTTGGTCCCCCATTAGTTAAACGTTGGCAGTGCCAATAGATATAGCTATAGCTGAGCAGGTAGCAGCACACACCTTTAATCACCCGCCACAGCCTTTTCGCCAAACAGGCCGTGAATACACCCCTCTCTTTTCAAGCAGTCAGCGTTTCCATCACATTTTTTTGGCATATTGCTTGCAGCAGGCGCCGACACGCCAGAAGAAGAGTTGTCGATCGGAGAGCTCCGTGGCATGTGCTGGAGTGCAGTTAAGGAGGTTCTAAAGCAGGCCAAAATCCTCCTGCGGACAACAGCAGCTGCAGGACTTGCGCAGTTTACACCAACCGATCCAGACAGTCCATTGTTGCATTTGGCGTACGCTGGCCGTCTGGTCAGTACCGACTCTGAAGCGATTACTCAGCCTTCAGCCGTCTCAACAAGCAATCGACAGAAGACGGAGCCCAATTCAAAAGGAGTCAATTCGCTCACCGAATTAAATACAAAGTCGGGATCATCTGTTAGCAGCAGCTTTCGTCCTCGCAACAATAAAGTGGATATGCGACACCAGGAGTTTGAGCGGCTGCCCACGTGCATTCAGTTCGTGATTACCAAGTGCCGTGTTGCTGTCGCACACCTTCGGAGGGTATGTGGAATCACCGGGGCGGATTGGGTACGGCTACTTGTCCAAATTGCATCTGTTCTGGAGCTGATTGTCGATTGTTGCATGAAGACCCGTACTTCTTTTATGCGAGCCTTTGGGTATACTGAGCTGGGATTCCAAGCCCTATTGACGGCGGATATCTTGTTACGTCTCAGCTTCTGCAGAAAATATCGTTTTTTCAGCTCTTGCTTCAACTGGTTGGATTTAGTGTTTCAAGCTACAGGTTGGGCATTCTTGGCTGCCGCACTTTCAGCGAGCAGCAACGAGGTGGACGAAACGATGGTCCAGAGCGCTTATTTCAGATTTGCTCAATGTACGCGCGTCGTTCGCTGTATTTGGCTTCTGCGCCTATTCAAAGGGACAGGAATGCATAGACTGGGGCTTGCATTGCAAGTGGCCATACGAAGAATATTTCGCTTATGTCTCATCTTCATTTTACTCGTCATATTTTTTGTTCTTAACCTCCGATTTTTCCTACAACCTGTAGCAGGCGTTTCGCCAGAAGTACCTTTACCCTATGCTAATCTCACAAGCCTTGGCGAAAGTTTCTTGAGTGTATTTATTCTGACAACTTCTGAAGGTTGGCCAGGCATCATGAAGGACTTTCTGAACCTCGGAAAGAGCTACCGCGTCATAACGATACTCATTTGCGTCTTTCTGGTTGCTCTGCTTAGCGTCTTCGTCGTAAATTTGTTCGTCGGCATTATTGTCGATGTGCTGGACCAAGAGCAGGCCAACATGGAGTACACGGGGGGACTCAGGAGCGCAACAGTCCTCCGTTGGAACGAAATGCAACGAGCCATTTTCACTTCGAACCTTATAACCGATATAGTGGAGAACCGCGGTGGCGATAAGCGAGGTGGCGTCCTGCATAGTGAGGGGGTGGAACCAAGAGAATGGCTAAAGCGAATCATCACCAGCAAGCCATTCGATGCGGCAGTGGCTGTAATTTCGCTTTTATCTTGCTTGACAATGTTGGCAGCAGGGGCATGGGCAGAGAGCGATATCCGGTGGTCCTTTCCCAACTACCAAATATGGATTTTCTGGATAAACGCAGTCGTCGTTCTAGCATACGTCATTGAACAGTGCGTGCGGTTTGCCGTTTTCAAAATGGCACTTTTTCGGAAGGGCATTTACATTATGGACCTGGCGGTTGCTACAGGTTCGTTGATAGCCCTACTTGTGGGGTTTACGAATTCTCTGCACACTGCTTTCCCCTCAGAGCCTCTCTGGCCGGTTGCCTTCAGACTGATTCGGGTCGCTTATATTGCTTGCAATCATCTTCCTGTGATGCGTGTGATTTCCATCTCACTATTTAATGTGTTTAGCTCCCTATGCAGGGTTGCTTTGTTTCTTTTCATCACTATTTTTTTCTATGGATTGCTTGGGACATGTTTGTTCTATGACGCGCATGTAGAAGTAGGGCAACACTTTAATTTTTCATCGCTCGGGGAAAGTTTGCTTTTGCTCTTGTCCTTCTCTACTGGAGAGATTTGGCACGACACCATGCTAAAGATCCGTGCTTTCTACTGTGAAAGGGACTCGGCAGTCCTAGGGTGGTCGATCTTGCCCTACGCAATATCGTTTGTTGCAGTGGCTTTTTTGTTGCTTATGAATTTGTTCACGAGTACCGTGCTGAAGGGCTACGTGGATGCAAAACGAAATCAATCTCTTTGGAAGGTAGCCCAGCTGCAACATGATTTGCTTAACAAATGGAGATTACGGGAACTGAAACTCAGCTGGCTCCCAGTTCACGTAGCTGTCCAAGTTCTGGCAGAACTACCTCCACCAATAGGCTTCAAGGACCTTTACGTCGACTTGGGGCCTCGCCGCATGCAGGCCATTCTTGCAAATTTGGCGGTATATCCTCTTCCCGTCCACGAGAACAAGGTGCACATCAGAGACATGGTGCTTACTACCACGTGCCGGGCCTGTGAGGCGCACGCTCAGCGCAGAGGACCGCTTGCTGCATTTGATCCTCTCAACAACCAGCAGAAGGTGGAACTAAACCCAAGGCTTGTGAATGCATGGATGAGCCATTTTAGCGATGCTGCAGTGACGCCGGAATTTAACATCCTGCAATATCTCGCAGCGCTGCAAATTCAATCCTTCTGGAGGACACAAAGATTACTACAACGCAATAGTGTACCCGACCAAATCAGATACATGCAGCACTTGCTGTTTCTTCTGGAAACGTCAGGGCCCATTTGCGCGCGCAGACGGTCAAGGAATGACTCCCGGCGTAGCACTCTTCGCCGCAAACGAGGGACTAAAACCGGAGGGTCGTTCATGCAGAAAAGTGCTGTGCTCACTCAACTTGGGACGTTCAAGCTGGACCCGGAGAGCAGAGATAGGCTTAAGAGCGTTTGGAAGAACGTAGCATCTGGATTTACGGGCAAGAATCAAGGTCGAGGGCAGACAACTTCGGCAGTTCCAGGGCGAATTCAGCGGCACTCTACGTCCTACGAAGACCGGTTTGCTCAAGAGGACCAGCGCCAACGCCAGAAGTTGCTGCTGCATCGCAGTGAAGCAAGCGAATGCCTCACTGACCTAGTAGAAGTAGGAAAGGATTTAGCAAAGGAGCAGAAGCATCAACGGCAAGAAGCGCATTCTTGGAGAGCGGAGTACCCGGAGGAGATCTCTTGCCCCTCTAAGAGCTCCGCTTCAATCGTTGCTGCCACTCAGCTAGACTCACCAGCGGACAGTTCAATAGCAGTCACGGGGTCACGCTTGTCTGTTACAAGCACGACACGGCTTCCCCTAGGAGCAACATCTGCAGCTGATTCTTCTGCAGAGGACCTACACCATGCCTTGGACCGAAAAGCTACTACAGCTCCAAGGCGATCAAGCATGAGGGCACCTCAGCCGTTCTTGCCAGCGGAGCAGCCCCGTAGAAGCCTGCGGATAGTCCCTGCTGCACCGAAGCTACAACGAATATCCACTCCTAACGCCGATCGGCCCGATAATATTGTTCCTCCAAGACGAAAAGGACAGTCTGTACAATTTACGGGTGTTCAGAAGGTTGAGCTTCAACGGCTTCTAGCGCCAGCGCTAGCTCAGCATAGCAGCAGCGATTCGGAGGGCGATGAAGACAGCAGCAGCTAGCATTCCTAATGCCGCTTTTGGAGCACGTTGCTGCTTCTCCATCATCTGGCTGTTTGTATTTTATCGCCGCATGGCTTCTAATGACAATTGTTTTCCCCGCAGACACGGAAATAACTTCCCGTCCTCAACTCCCGGGGCAGCTTGCATTTGATACCGCAACCGCCCCGCTGCAGAGAATCGGTCAATAGTTCAAACCCGGTGGATACGCCGCCTTCAAAGGCGTTTACACCTATTAGAGCATTAGCCATACTCACTGTATTTGGCATTTCACTTCCTGCACTCCCTGCATGTGGTATAATTCAAAACCAACATTCGCAAACAAAACCGCTGACGACAGAAATCCGCATGGCTTATAAATCATAAAATTCAGCCCCAATCTAAATTTCCTGAGAGATGTCAAGGGCCACAGCATACGTCTTGAACACATTAGCCGGTTGACTGACTGGATGGTACGCGGTGCTAGCAAGTTAATCTGCTGTGCGCGTTAAGCACAACATGTACCATGATATAGTTCCTGCTCTATCGGCTCCGCATCCCTCAAGGCTTATTAGAATTTGGGATATACCATCCCCTAAGCTGTTGCGGAAATGAGGCACAGACGGTTGTGTTCTGCAAGCTTTTACGTATCAGCGGTGAAGAATGCAGCATGTATAAGGTTTGGAGACTGCCTGCTACTCTAGGGAATTTGCAGGCTTCCAGTTCTCTTCGGTTGGTGAAATTGTCTCATGATTACCACTGGGGAAGCTGGTCTGCTAATCGGTACTTCTAATACTACCCAAACGTTATCGTACGTGTTTAAGAAACTTGAAATGAGCAACTCCTTGAAGGTTGCGTTGTTTCCCAAAGCAGGTGCATCATTTTATTTCTTTCATAGCCTTCCTGCGGCATTTCCTAGATACTGGTGTTGCCTGTGTCTATATTTTGCATTTGCGCTGTCAATCCAGTTGAAAACATTTTCGGGCGCGCTAACATTGGAAGCTACTGGTTTTCCTTCTCGGGCTTTGATGGCATTGGTAAACGAGCATTTCCACGAGCAGATACTTCAGCCAGAACTACGCGCAACATTTTTGGTTTTCTGTGCTAATGAGTAAGCTGTGTGAATGAGCGTTGCCTTGGAAACAAGAATGCAATTGTAGCAGAATTATATGCACTTGACCAGCAGGTCGTTCCCCATTCTCTACCCCGACCATTAGTAAATGCGTGGTAACTCGTGTCCGAGATGAAGCGTTTGCCTGCTGTCTGGCGGCCCTACTCTGCTCCAGTAGCTACTTCATGCGTTAATAACTTGTTACCGTGAACTCGAATAAGGCCAAAAGCAGTGTAACGTCTGTGGAGCGAAATATCAGCATGCGCCGAACGGCGGCTTAACTCAAGCCACCTCAGCGAAAAGAATGTTCCAGTCATATGGCTGTTCCCATGGACAGTTGATAATTGACTGATGCGCATATGCTCCACTCAATCACTGTCTTCGCTGCTTGTCCCTTCTTCTATTTGCCCTCTCGGTGATCCTTCCTCAGAGGTTGCTGCTTCCGGAGGGGTGTGTTCGCTTGTTTCCACTAACTCGCCTCGGGCTGAATCACGGGCTGATTCTACGGTACCCTCGCCATCATCATCAGCGGCGTCTCCAGCAGGAACGCCTTCCTCATTTGATGCTGAGGCTTGGTCTGCGGCTTCCTCTGCTGGGGCCTCAGGCTGCTCCGCGTCCTGCGGAACAGCAGGCTCTTCTTCTATCGTATTGGATGATTCATTTTGCGTTTCTTGGTTGCTGTTACCAACTTCCTGATTCTCAATCGTGGACGCAGGTACATCATTACTGACTACTTCTCCCTGCAATTCTTGGTTGCCTTCACTTGATTCTATGTTCCCGCGTTCGTCATGGGGATTCAGTTGTTCTTCTTTATTACTCTGCTCAGTTTCTGCTTTCTGTAGCAATTCGTCAAGTGATCTGCCCTGCATTTTCAGTGCCGCCTTAATTTTCTCCAGCAGCTCTTTCTTCGCCTTCAATTCTTCCTCAAGCTTGCGCGTATCTTTTCCTTTGTCACCCTTTCCCTTGCCTGTCTTGTCAACGAACTTTCCACTGACTTCGAATATCAGGGCGCCAGAGAGCCACTCAATTGCGACGTCGTTGGCGTTGAGGGTAAACCCCTGAAGGAAAATCCAGATACCAGCTTACACTTGTTTTCATGCATTTAGTGTGTCTCGCGCATGGGGGGATATTTGCTCTGTCGGAATGTGCTGCATGCGCATATTGCTGATTTTCTATGGCTATCGCTGGTTTATCGCTAGTTTGATGCATGTACAGTATGCATTCCAACAACCGTGGTATTCAGCTGCACGGTCGCCGCCCAACAAGCACAATTTCACGCGAATTTCACAGGTAGTGAGCTTGTTTACCCTCGAACTATTAAAGACGACATCGCGGCTTTCCTCCTCAAGCGAAACTGTAGACACCTCTGTCATTCCATCTAGCCAGCGATATAGGACCTGCGTGCCAAATGTTTTGCAAAGCATTATCAATGGCAGATGATTGTTGCCATATATATCTCTTGCATGGGCATGCATGAGCAGGCGGAAAACCTTTTGATCTGGTGCATGCCGTGTATCTGTCTGGTGAATCTTGTGAATATTGGCATTTCGTGAAGGGAAGAACAACGGGCAGCCTTGAAAGCCTCCATATTGCTGGGTATAGAACACCCGACTGTGACTGTTACTATCCCCAACGACGCTGGCACTCGTCAGTTTTACCTGTGGATGGCGGCATGACTTCTCCGGTAGGTTGTTCGCAGAATGTACGGAGACGGTGATTGTTAGTTCGCGGCCTTTCACGTCTTCCACCGAGTCGAAATCGTCAATGTCTTCTATGCGGCGAGCTACCAGCTCGTCTTCTCTAAACACAGCGATAACCGCATTTGCACCCGTTAGATGTAGCATATTTCCTTTTGTGTGGCGCGAAACTATTTCTTCCACAGCTGGGAACGCGCAGAACTTAACTACAAGCTCTTCACTGTGGGCGTAAGCAGTCATGTGGCAGCTTGGGGATGTGGAAGTAAATGAGAAGTGTCATTTTGTTTAATACTCCCCTACCCTTCCACTTCAGATTTTGTTGAGGACACTTGAATATCGATTGACAAAACAAGAGTTCCCCTTTTTTGTCCTTTGGCGTCAAATATAGGAAATGGCTCCTTATCTATGGGCAGCAAGCTTCGGATTGTTTCTAAATAAACATAGGCTTGACCCACCACCTGCAACAGAGACATCAGAACATGCATGCATATTGACTGCACCATTAGTAGCCACGGCGGAATCCGTAGATGTACTGCGCCCCAAACTGACTATGCCGCATGACTCGACGTATTTTATGCACGAACAGTAACTCCCTTCGGAGCCAAGTCATGTATTTCCCATTTACTCCATATATCTAGAGTACGGGTATTGTTTGCTCCCTTATTACGTCTGCACGAGGGCATTTACCTCACTAATGCCCAGCGTCTAACCTGGTATGATTCTGGATCAGGCGCAAAGGGGTCCGCAACGTCATCCGGTAATGCAAAAACTTGCCCTGGCTCTGGTGTCCAATTAGCATAAATTTCTCGCATTTCAAAGACCTTTCTTTCGAACAAATCCAACGACCAGAGCTGGGTGATATCGGAATCCATCCGATCAACTCGTATCATAATCTCTGATCTTTGCATTACTGTTCCTCCTAGAGTTGCTCTAGTACCCCGCCCTACCGCATCTCCGCGAATTGTGAGTTTAGGAGAAAAGCAAGCCCCAACCCCAAGCTCTTGTGCAATCATATTTGCTTCGTCGACGAGTAGGGAAGTTTTTGTCATGATTTCCTCTAGTTCAATTCTGGCGGCTCTTTCCTCCTCCCTTCTAGCTTCCTCTTCAGCCTGTTCCTTCCGTATCCTTAGCTCGCGCGCGGTTAATTCCTCCTGCTTACTCTGCAACATCTGCTCTATTTCGTGTTTTTCTTGTTCCAGCTCTTTCAGCTTTTCCTGAATAACCTCCTGCGATTCGCCGCTTGCTAGCAGCTCCTGTTCCTTTTTCTCCAGCTTTTTAAGCAGTTCATGTCTTTCCTTTTCCAAGGAATTCTTTGCGGTCTCTAGATCTTTCAGCATCTCTCTGAACTTTCTATCCTTTTCTTTTTCTGCTTGAGTCTCTTGTGTCTGACCGTATGCCCCCATCTGGTCTTTCTTGACTTCCTTCATTGCATCCTCCCAAGAAGGCATGGCCTTATCCATATCAAGTGGATCCATATACACATAGAGATTGTTGTGTCCGAATAGAATTCTGTCCTTGTGTTGCAACTGCCTTTCTTCGCCCTCCTGCACTTCCACGCCATTCACCATTGTCTTTCCTACTGCCTTCAAAGTTACGCGGAATGATACATCTTCTGGATCTTCGGCGTCATTCTGTATTTTTGCGCATTCTACAGTAGCGTGGCCTGCTACCACACCCAAGCCACCAATACGGAAGGTGGGGGCTTCTTCTCCTTCTGGCTTTCCGAAAGTGCTCGATCCCGGTTTTATTACGCACACTATCTTGCCGGTGAGGAAAGGGTCTTCGTTCAGGTTTTGTAACGTGGGGAGTGTCATCTCGAGCTGCTCCTCCAGTCGCCCAGCGGCCGCCGCCCTCTTCTTTTCCTCCGCTATCTTTTGCTGCCACGACATCTGCAAGATTGTGTGACAAACAGCCTGGTGTATTCTCTAGTCGGCGAATGCAAATGTGAATTTGAGGTCAATCAGTGTTAGGCTAAAGGTTGCCAAGTGAAGAGCGACCCGCACAAAGAAACGTACTGTCATTTCTTCCATAGCCCGCTTGTTTGCCTCGATCTCTTCTTCGTACTGTTTTCGCATAGCCTCTAACATAGCGGGGTCGGGCTCTGAAGCTCCACTTGGGGCTGGCAAAGTACCCCCCATAGCCTGTGCAGGTGCACAGGCAGACATCCAAACACATACGTAGTTTGATGGGAGGACTGGGGCAGTGCACGCTTCATACTGTACAAAAGGTGACAATCGTTGAGGCCTCGCTCAGGTCCAATTTCTGTATACCTTCTTGAGGCGCTCATTCTCCTCGCGTAGCTCTCGAATAAGCTTTTCAAGTGGGTTCTCGTTAACGACGGCTTCATTTTTAATTTGTTTCACTCTATCTGAACGCGCTCAGACGAGAAACTCTTTGTCAGCGATGAAAGGCAGTTTATGAGGCAGCCTACACAGTAGGAAACGGCACGGCTCGCTCCGCTCGCACGCGTTTGTCCTTAATGCATTTCACTGTTCCTTTTGTATGGGTGTTAGCGGTTTTTACCTGCATAGCGAAGAGTGCTCAGCGTTTCTTCGTAGTTGACAGAAGCTGGGGAAAGGGCTGCTATCATGCACGTTTTACTATTCCCTCCAAGGGCAGTTTGTAGAATGCGTGTCAGCGCTGAGTCACGGTATGGGACGACCTGCATTCACGACGGAACAACTTCGAACTTTGTGAAATCATCGTTGCAACACACCCGGGTGCTATTCGCTCGTGGGCATAAGGCGGCCTTAAAACTGTCCATCCCTCCTGGTTCCACCCCACATAGTCGGCATAGTTTCTTACATGCAATTTTGTACAGGTTGAATGGGACAAACTGGGGCTCAGATTTTGTCAATCAGCTTACCTGCCCAGGTTTCAACTTTCCAGCTGCTTTATCTGCAAGTGCAGAAATGACATTGCCGAGGGCGCTGAGGCTCTGGTTGATTGCGCAACCTTCCTTGAGTCTGTCTCCAGTCGCCCCAGTAGACCCAGCCCTTTCGCTACCAGCCAAATCTACAAGATTGATTTCAGAGCACTTTTGTGATACTGGCTCTCCCGACCCAGCTGCGAAGACAAGTTGCCAGAAGAATGTTCGCCAGGACTACAAGGAAGAGCAGCAGCTCAACCTGCCAAAATGGCGCTTGGCTAGTCAAAAGGCAGATGGCTAAATAAGCTTTGCCAGTACTAAACGGAATAGCAATGTCTCAGCATCGGAAGTTCGGGCCTGCCTAGTGGCTGCAAAGCTAAGTGATACGGTTAATGATTTTGTGTACCATACGATCTACGGTGACTTGACGGAAGAAGATCTGCAAAACCGTGTGAGCACGAGACGATGTGGCATTCATAAGCGTAGCGCCAACAGTACGATTGGCCGTGCCTGCAGAAAACCTCGACAAGATTTTAAAACTGAGCGCCCATACAACCATGTTCCCGGGCGATGACGAACAGCCTCTGCCTGCTAAGAGTGCTTGCCTGCACATTCATCCTGCTGATAGTGCAAGAAAGTACCTTCATCTAATTTGGCTTGGATCGCCGCATACGAGTCCACAGGACACTTGCTTAGATCTTGCACAAATGTGCCTAGTTGGGGAGTATGTCGAATCTTCAGTCCTCCCTTCGGTCTCTTGTCCATCGGTTGAAGCAAGTCCTGCACTTGCTCATTGTATATCTCCAACATACTTACTAGAACTTCCGCCTGGAGGTTAGGATCTGCATTTTGCTGTATACGTTGGAATATTTCTTCACAAGCTCTGACGATAATGCCCTTATTCGCACCGTACCCAACCATGGAATAGCTCTTCCCAGCTCCGGTTTGACCGTAAGCAAAGAGACACGCATTATACCCCTCAAAGGAGTTGTTCAGAACATCTTTTCCTACGTCTTGATATACTCTGTGCTGGTCGGCATATTTCGTGCTGGTTGGTCTACAGTACCCAGTACCGTCCACCTCAAACCCGTCGTGTGACCAATATGAGTAGTCGAAGGAGAAAGTCTTGCTTGGATTTTTCGCGTCATCTTTGTTTTCTATCGTAGTGCTTTTCCCTTCCATGGAAATGCAGAGAATTGCATTCATGTTTTTCTCGCGGTCGTTAAACGGGCGAACCCGCACTGCCACCTTTACGGACGACATCTTCACCGTTTTTCAGTGACAGCATACGCAGTAGGTGTCTCCGTTTTTGCCCGTTCTCCAGAGCAAACTATATTGTATGCCTCCCTATAGTTCTAGCCACCACTAACAGCGGTGTGCACACGGCAAGTAGCCCTACCATACACTAGCTACACAGGAGGTAACCGTGGACGGGCAGGAAAGCCAAATCGTCTGGGCTGCATTGGCAGTGACGGTTGTTAGCACAGAAGATGCAAAATATATTTTGCATCCACGGAGAAGGGGAACAACGCCAGCCTTTCACTGGTGTGCACGCCTACCGGGCAAGGAATTGGAGATACGGAAGCCTGTGCAGCCACGAGCAGGGTCACCTAACTCGCATCCCATGGGCAAGTTTTATCGAACGCGAAGAGAACGTTTAGCCCAATTTTTTTTAATTTTTATATAGCCATGGTGGAAAATCGATGTTCATGAACTTTAAGAGGTCATGGATCCCCCTTTTCGGACGGACACATCCAGTGGAAGCGACGTGGCACACCGCACCTAACTCACGTCTCGCACCCACCCAGAGCTAGCACTGGATACGAAGCAATACAATAAGTAAATAATAATTAAACACGAACAAACACATAGCTGGGACGCTAATTCTTATTTTGGTGGCGAGCAGCTGACTGGGAAGCTGTCTGCCAAGGGGGTTCTACCCCCAGTAGTCTGCTCCTTTCTGAACATTGCGTTACAAGTGATTGACACTTCGCTAGCAGGGTAAGTACATGTATGGGAACTGGAGCTACACATAGGCCAAAGGCACACTGACGCGTTAGAGAGTTGAGAACTTCTACAGTACGCCGGGATTGATGGTGGCATGTAGCTCCTGTGCTATTTGACAGTGCATCTCCGTTCCGTAGATGTTTGAGTTTAAGAGAAGACTCCTTTAAGAGGAGAGAGTGATTGAGGGATTATGCCAAAATGTTGAAAGAGCCAGTTCACCTCTCCTGCGAGTCTCCGGGGCCCCTGAGCTCACCGGCAAAGCCCAGGATTGCTCCGGAGCGGAGGCGGCCTACCATGAGGTCCAGCACAACCGGCTAAGACCGCCTCTACAAGGCAACGCCACAAACAAGCGTACCGGCGGTCTCTATGACGCATGGAGTAACACTGGAGACATTTCTTCGACACCTTTTGGGCGCTGATTATCCGTGCTGATGGCAAATGAGAATCAGCGTACAGTCTACAGCGATAGCTTTGTAAAGAGCGCTAACCGAATTCACAAGTGCTCTGCTGCCCTCCTTCCGGATGGCCCGATGGAACGGAACGCGTGTTGACATACCAACAGTCGCATTAGCTAGCGGCTCATGGGTGGCTAGCACGACTAGCACAGTGCCTGAAAGGGGCAGGCTGCACAAGATACATGCGAATGATTGGTGCTTTTTGTGCTGTCAACAGAATGCAGTGTGAGGAATTCCAAAGGCATAGGCGATTAACTCTTCTCAGTATAACAACCAAGCGGGCTCTGAAGGCCCTGTGGACCTCGTGGCCCTGAGAGACTGGGGTCGCCTTCGCCACCGCTGGAGGGAAGGTGTCACCGGTAACTCTGCGAAGCCTTCTTCTCCATGAGTTCGGCGGCCAGAGTTAACTCGACAGGCAAAAAGCCTCCACTGACGAGCTGATACTGAGTTTCTAGGTTCGCCAGATGCTAGGGTGGCAATGGGCTGAACCTGTCGAATGAACGGCCCAACGGAGTTGCTGGCAGTTGCATGGAGCTTAGCAGGACACAGATGGTTAAAGTAAATGGGTCTAATTTAGGTTGTTGGATTGGGCGTCTTTAGTCACAACGTATGTGCCTTTTTGCATGCAGGCGACGCAAATAGCTGCTTTGCGGCTATTTCCGGGATTGTAGGTTGGTGACCTGCAGCACCAGGTTTTGCCGCCAGCATTCTTAGTAATGGGTATGCATGCTTTTGCATGGCTTTAACTAACGATGATGAAATTCTTGTTCTGTTAGGCAACAAGCCCAACAAGCATAACGATGATCTCTATGGAGCATGCAATAATTTAATGCTTCACTGCCCCAGTCAAACAACTTTCTAGCTCAAGTTGACTCGCAAACATCGGGCATCCGCCCGTGCTCAAGGCTGGGTGAACCCGACGAAAAGCAGCAAGGTAGCACAAGATGGGAGCATAGTCGGTCACACAGACAGCCTCAATAATTGCTATTACTGCGGAATTGGGCAATCCCCCTTGCGCAAGTCAATGGAGTTCATGACTACAGGGCAACTAAGAAGGATTCCGCTGCTATATCTGAATGGTGAGGACTGAGTGCACGCTGCATCGAGGCCCCGCAGTGCCTAATCCATGAGATGCCTACGACCATACTGTGCGTAGAAACTGGTCACACGCAGCAGTCTGGCATGATTGGTAACGCGACCGTTGCTAACTTTTGCAAGCGTTCCTGCAACATTTTCTACTGAACTTTGTCTCCTGTCTACAATCGCCACACCGCGCCAACGAATTCACAGCTGTCGCATATCCTCTTCGCAGCGTCGGATGGCAGACCCACTGCACCGCTTGTGTCAACTAGTAGGCCCTGCGGCTCCTGACCCATTATCGTGACTCAGCTACGCGGATAGTTGACGGAATGGAAATATCTAGACGCGGCTGTCACCTACAATCACGGCAACATTCCCGCTCACACACTGTAAGAGTGAGGGTTGATTGAATAGTGGAAGTGTGTGCCAGTGCTTGTTGATGTTTGTTGAGTTAATAATTCATGAATGTATTGAACATTGTTTATGAAGAGACACATTGATATGACTATAGAAGGGGTTGCCATCAGACCCGACTCAAGAGGTGTTGCAAAATGCCAGGCCGTCTCCCCTCCCAGCCCCAAAGGCGGCAGTGCCGGGTCTAGTGGGGTAGCATAACATATCAATTTTGAGAAACACAAGCGAAGAAGCATCCTTTATGCTTTGTTAGCTTCTTCATTTTGCTGTACGAGATGCGATGTCGGAGAGACTGTAGCAATTTACTTGAGGGTGGCAATTAACTCATGCCTGCCTGCTCGTAATAGCCAGCTGCGGGGACCTAAGGAGGCCACCGACAGTAGTCTTTCATAGGAGCAGCCTACTAATAATACGTCATGTTTACTAAAAATAGTATAGAAGATTGCAATATTTTTTTCATCGTGAACAAATCTCGCATGGCATGTGACGGACACAGGGCTCACATCACACATCATCAGCTTACTGGGCCCGCAGTAGCTCCATTGTTATCGATTCACAACGCGCCATCATGCAAGGGAACTTGGAACCCTACTAGGTCTCACAGTTAGACTTTTGTCTCCGTTTGTGTTCTCGTTGGTGGCGCAAGACGAAGACCTATGGTGATTGCTTAGTGCGTCCATTTACGAGACTGGAATCAAGTTCCGACTACCATATCATCCTTAAGGCCCCGAACTTCCCTTAACCAGCCTGCTGTAAGGGAGTTTCTCACAGGGGCAATGCCATTCGCCTTCGCGGTTTCTATTGGCTGTATGTTCTAACAACTTCCAAACTTGTTTTGCTTGCTTCTCGGACACGGCGGTGATGTGTGTTCTTTTCGGTTACGCGGAAATATTCAATCACCTCTCATACTTTTACGCTTCCACTCGCCGATTTTCTTTCCGCAGCCTAGGTTGCCGCTGGCCTCCCTCTAGGTGATGACATCGACTACTTCCGTTGTCAATGCTTTATCTCAGTTTTGGCGCAGCATATTGCTTTCCCGGGCGTTTTTGAAAAACGGCGAACCACGATTACGTTCATATCTACACAAATGTGCAATATTACTGCAGCTCATCCTCCACCGTGAAGTTTCTGAAAGTAAACCCACATCAAGATGCACCTCGATAAAATGCCATAGCAGCTGTAGTATACCAGTTGTATGTGCAAGACAACACTACAACTCCGGAGAAGCAAGGAACTGTTCCGCCGTCATCGAACTGCCGTGGCCGTCATATATAGGCCGGCTGCTAAGGCATATATAGTGACTGGCTCTTTCTGCCCATACATTTTGCTGTAGAGCGAATCAATATCCTGGGCCTGTCCCAGGTCAACTGTAGTGAATACACCCTACAATCACGGCAGCAGTCCCGTGCTGGTTGTGAAATGAGTGAGGGTTGTATGAATAGTGAAAGTGTCTGTGAGTTCTTATTCATGTACTTTGAATATAACATTGCTGAAAGCATTAACCATTCTTTATGGAGTGACCATTAGTATGGTTATAAGAGAGGGTGGCTTTGGTAGTTGTTCTCTCAACCCCACTGAGGCCTTTGGGGCTGCAAGAGGAGAGGGTGTAGCCTGGTGCAATAGCTTTTGCAGAAAGGCACAAGCCACCCTCTCCTATAACCATAACAGTTGTCACTCCACAAAGAATGCTTAATGCTTTCAACAATGTTATATTCAATTACCAGAGAGAGAATACAGTGAGAGAACCCATTTCTTTAACCGTTGTTAGTTTGATACACTTTGTTCAGTATGATAGATATTGCTTGCCAGCTCGCCATACTCAGCTGTGGGGTTCCAGGCATGCGGCGCCCCACAGTACCCCTTCAGAGAAACAACGTAGTAATACATAAAGATTACTGCAAATATTTGTACAGAAGAGAAATACTTTAAGTTAACTTGACCAGATCTCAGCAATTGCATGAGGGAACTGAGGGCTCTCCCCCACTTCTCATCAGCTTACAGGGCCTGCAGTACCTAGAGTGTTATGACATCCCATCAGCCCATCGTGTGAGGGGACTTGGATCCATTCTACGCCCCACAAGTGTGTTTTCCAACGTCTGTGTGTTGTCGTTGCGGGCACAAGACGGAGAGCTGCTGGCAGGGCCTAGTGCATCTACTGACGTGAGCGGGATCAGGTTCCGAAGGCCACATGATCCGTAAGGCCCCGAACTCCCCTTAGACTGGCGTTTCTGAAAGGGAGTTTCTCACATCAACTCGCCGCCCAGCCGTCGCTCACCTCCCCAGCGAAAAGCAGATGCTGCGCCAATC